TGCAATTTCGCAATTTTCTTCAAATTCTTTCGATGGCATTACGATTCCGGTTGTTTTTGCCATGTCCCGGCATGCGTCCTTTAAATGACATTCCACCAGAATGGTTTGATGCGGAGCTATTGTTTGACGTTTTGTTAGAATTAACGGGAATTTTTTCACTCGATTAATTCTTCTAGGCTCGTTTGGAGGTTTTATTTCGTTGATTTGCAGAGTCAAATCTGGGAAATGAAGTAAATTATACTTGGCACAGATATGAATGTGGTGTTTTTTGTAGAAAGGGTTTCCTAGAATTATTGAGTTGGCTGCATGTAGAACGAGAAAAGATTCTACAAATGTCATGTCTGCCAATTTAAATTCCAGTGTTACTTCTGTTTCAATTGGCACGAGTTGTCCTCCTGCCATTCTTACTCTCTTAAGTTTTGATTCACTTATTTTAAGAGGGCGGTATAAAGATTTTTCATCTTTTAAGTCGTCAAATGTCTGTTTTGAGATGACATTTGCGCAGGCTCCTGTATCAACCAGGGCTCTTCTTTGTAATCCCGATGAGAATCGTAATTTTGTGTACGTCAAAACTGTTCCTTCAGCAGGAATTACTGCGTAAAGGTTGATTATCTCATCAGGTGGAATTGACGGTTTTGATGATTTAGATGATTGAAATGATTTGGGGGACTGACTCGGTGGCTTGATTAGTTTTTTGGCTGATTCTGAAACGGAAATGATTGACCGTGTCCTTGTGGTTTTTGTCTCCACCAGCATTGGCTTGCCGTATGGTTGAATTTACCACAAATGTCACAGAATTTGGCTGATGCTCGAACCATTGGTTCGAAAGATCCAGATGGAAGTTGAATGTCAGCTTGCGCTGTCTGAGTTCCATTGAATTGATGTTGTTGTGGTTGCAGGTAGTTCGCGTTTTGCTGTACCTGTGCTGGTTGAATCTGCACCATCGACTGATTTTGCTGCATATTTGGGTACTGTTGGTATTGATACCATGGTGGATATTGCTGAGGTGCAATTGGTCCCATATTTTGGAAATTAGTCTGATTATTGTTAAATCCAAAATGATTTTGCCAGTTAGATCTGTTTTTTCCTTTCCTGCCACTTTGCTGCTGTCCAGGCCAATTATTTTGGTTTTGGTTACCACTGCACTGACTGTTTTGGTTTGCGTTGTTCTTGTTTTGATGAGAAGGCGGATTCAATTGTTTCTTTGACTGCTCAGTTATTTGTGATCTCATTTCGTTGATCTGCTTCTCAATTTGTTCCTGATTTGGGGACAATTTTGTGAGAGCACTGATCAAATTTTCTGAGACTCTGTCGTTTACTTCATTAAATCCGTCTTCCGGGTAGTCTTCGTTTCGGCAAACTTCTCGGATCATGATCTGCTTCTTCGTCAAATTACACAATTCTTGGACAGTAGTTGCTTGTGGTTGCTCCATCAATTTTGATCGCAGCCAGTTTGGCATTCCTTTTATGAACAATCGTTTAATTTGTTCATTGCGATTGTCATTTACTGCATCTATTCTTTCTTGTCGTTGTGCAGTTTCTCGGTGAAATCGCGCTGTGTCTGCTACTAATGGTGCTCCGTTTAATGCAACATCGATTGGGTCGACAGCTGGCAAATCTGGGGTTGGGTACGCTCGTTGCGCTTTATTTGTCAAGTTCACCAAGAAGTTCTCGGGTGAATCGATTTTAGGATCGTAGCGTAGCTGTTCTAATTTCAGTACATGGATTTCTTGAAGCTGGGGATTGCAGAAATGATCCCTTAGGGCGCCAAGACTATTCTCTACGTTCGCTGGAATTGCTGCTGGCAGCGTTTGGTAGAATCGTAGTGCCGCTTCTCGTAGGTGTAGTTGCAAGAAGTTCGCTTGCTGACCAGGAGCGATTCCCGCAACTCCGATGTATCCTCGGAACAATTGCTCGAATTGCTGGAAGTCTTCTTTGTCCGTTCCACCGTATGGTGCGACCGAAATTTGCGCGTGTGCCATCTTATTACAGTTGAATGATTATCAGATTTGTGATACAGTTAATGATTGAGCACAGCACTTAGTCGATTTAAGGGGGGCACAAGAAAATTTTGCTAGACTTTCCTTATTTTGGATTATTGAACCTTTATGCATCTATTGCTATTCTGATTTTGGTTATTCTTTCCATCAGGGTTTGCTAATATTTCCGTTACTTCGCTTTTTTTGGTTGGGGAACTTATTAGTTACAATATCAATTTACTGCAAGTGAGTTTTGAGTTTGTTTTTAACTAACTGTTTTGACGTTGGAAACCTTTCATCTACTTACTTTTCTGCCTCTTCAGTAGCTCACTTGACATACCATCTGACAGAAGTAGAGAAGCTGTAGGTCACAATCCACATGTCTGCTTGTAGATTGGAAAAAGTTGTCAGCTCAGGAGATGTTGAAAAGTTGTGGTTGTCTTCTTTTTTCTCCCTGTCTGTCAGTTGTTCACTGAGTTTTGCTCTGCTGCCAACATCTGAGCATTGCTGTGCTGATCAAGATGTTTTTTTTTTTTTGTTCTGCTTCAGCAAAGTAGTGTTGTCACTTTCTGCTCAAATTATGATGTTTGGAATCGCCGATGACTGTTTTGAATCCAGAAGTTGAAATTCCCGCGAAAGTCACCATATAATATTCCGTATCTGGCGGATGGATAATACGGGTATACTGTCGTCTACTGTTATGCGAGCTGTTCAATTGGTAATGTTATTTAGCACTACTGGCTATCAATTGTATTTAGATTGGATTCATTATTTAGATATGTCTCGAGCGGTAACGACCTATCTTGCTTTAAAGGATGCTGGTTCCGATTCCTAGCTTCTGATATTTCGCAAGTCGATCGGCGCAAGTAAGGGCATGATTGGAATAGTTTATTAAGTTGATCTCTATTCAATTGATTCGTAGCTCGGTATAAATCTCCAATGATTGGTATTAATTACCATCAATGTTTACATAGTTAAATAAATATATGATGCAGCTCTATTTTAACATCAAGGTGAATTATGTAATCTATTCGGTTCAGATGGTTAATTAGAATGAATGACATCATGAAGGGATGATGTCACAACCTATGATTCTTGGAAATGTCAACTTTATGGTTTGATGACAGCTTTTGGACTTTTCTAGGCCCAGTATTTTTTTAAACTAAATGCTATGATTCTTGGAAATGTCAACTATATGATTTGATTACAGTTTTTGGACATTTCTCGATAACTATCGTGCCAAATCTGATATAGGTTTAATCGACAAACCAGGTTGATGGAAGCTTGTTTTATGGTTTGCTACGCCTAGTTTCTAATCAAACAAGTTAAAGTTTTGAAACTTTAACCGTTTTGGGAGTTTTTTTGACTATACTCGAAAATTACCGTGCCATTTCTCGGGGTAAGTGTTCAATCGGAAGCAAAAATTATGGGAATCTTCTGCTTTACCGGCCACGACTTGCTTTTTGAATTTTCTTAAAAACTACCCTATCAAATCAGATGAAAATTTCAATCGAAAGAAGTGGTTGCGCGAGTTTTTCCTGCAGAAGCGACTACTCCTTAGATCCGTTTTTACTGAAGGTTGGTTGATTATGTTCTTATGATCTCTGATATTATGGGCGCCTTTTTTGTATTATTATTAAAGCTTTCAATAATAACATCTGTTGCTGTTATATTCATAAAGAAAAACCACCTTCATGATCTCATTAAAAAATTAATTGAAGAAAAAAAATAGTTTTATATTCGATACCTGATTGATTGACTTTTCTTATCATCATATGTATTGCTGAGTTAGGTTTATCTCGAGGCCATACTTTTGTCCTATAGAAACGACGCTCAGTATTTTCATCATTTTGAAGAAAAATTGTTTTTTTTTTTCGGAATAAAAAATCTAAGGTAACATAGTTTTGATTTACTATAATATTGTTATGTCGCTGTATTGTTGTGTACGCCTACTGTCTAAGTCAGTGCTGAAATTGATTTTCCAGCCGTTCTTGCTCGAAAAAAAATGATTTTCTGGAGTTTGGGAGAAATGAAAGTAACTTTTCGAAAAAAAATCGGGTATTTTTTTCAGCATTTTTTATATAATATTTTCAAAGTTTGTTTGACTAGGTTTACACACTTTCATCAGTACTTTGCGCTCTGCATGCGTTTTCGCCTTGAGCTTTTTGTTAGAGCTCCTCCTGATTGTATAGAAGTTTTGATTTAAAGTCATAAAATCATACTCACTGTTGAAGTGTGTTTCAAATGTTTGTCTTGCTTATAATTTAATATCTTGCGATAATCATTGAGAATGTAGAAATTTCTGCCTTGGTTCATAGAAGTGAACTGATTTATCTTGACACTGCAATAATTTTTCAAAAGAAATTTTCAGTTGCAGCTCGAAAAATGGAAGGGCACTGTATATAATTCGGCCGCGCTTTTCCTTGTGGTACCTGATTTTTAGTGGAGAGTCACTTTATTGGTTCTTCTCAGCTTATCTGGCGCCGTCAAATTCAAAAAATCCATTGGCAAGAAAAACCGGTTCGTTTTTGAGCAGAAAATGAGCGTGAAGAGTGGACGAAACTGAACAAATAAATTCAGAAAAGCAAATGGTTTTTTTTTCGTCTTTCAATTGTAACCGTGTTTGGATCTTGTACATGAACCAATTTCTTTTGCTGTGTTGGCAGTGGAGAGTCACTTTATTGGTTCTTCTCAGCTTAGCTGGCGCCGTCAAATTCAAAAAATCCATTGGCAAGAAAAACCGGTTCGTTTTTGAGCAGAAAATGAGCGTGAAGAGTGGACGAAACTGAACAAATAAATTCAGAAAAGCAAATGGTTTTTTTTTTCGTCTTTCAATTGTAACCGTGTTTGGATCTTGTACATGAACCAATTTCTTTTGCTGTGTTGGCAGTGGTTCATTTTCTGCTCATTTTGCCAGGGAGACAAATGTTTTTGTCAGGTTTGTGTTAATCACTGGTCAGTAGTCAACTTTTATGCTAGTTTTTGATGTCAAAAAATATCAGGCATCTTGGAGAGTTCGTCATGAACTTATTTGTATTTTATTTTTTCAGCAACACTAGCTTTGCCGTGAGCTCTTCGACTAGCTCTCCTAGTTCCAACTCACAGCAGTTCACTTACAGCAGTGAAGACAAGGTGACTTTCAGCGCAGGATTGGCGGAAGAGAGGTCAACGAGAGAGAACCTAGTGGGAGTTATGTCCGCAGATTTGAACCAGATGAGATCTATTCGCATGTTTTTCTCAGACGAGCGAGAGACGAGTGGTCAATTGGTGATCGCAAGTTGTGAGTCACAGTATAAAATATTCCATTTTCACAACGGAGGACTTGACAGGTTGTCGTCCATTTTGAAGTCGTATCAAAACTGCTCGGAAAAGTCGCAGTACAGGGAAGACACAGGGCTTTGTTTTGAGTTTAGTGTCTCAAGTTTAACTCTGCCTTACTCCGATTGTCATAAAGAGGAGGGAAAGTATGCAAAACTTACTCGGGAAATGTGGTTGCAGTATATAAGCGAGAACGGCGTGATCGAAAACGACAAGGAACTCCGAAAGCATGTCTTTTTTGGAGGGGTCGACCAGTCTATCCGTCGGGAGGTGTGGCCTTTTCTTCTGCATTATCTCTCATTTCAACTCACGACTGCAGAACGAGCTGAAATTTGTCGCGTGAAAGCAAAACAGTATCATGAAATACAGAAACGAAGAGGATCTATGAGTGAAGCTGATATGGAGGTTTTCTGGCGTACAATTCAGACGATCGTGGATAAAGATGTGGTTAGAACGGACAGAAACAACCCTTTCTTCAAAGGGGAATCGAACCCAAATCTTCAACTTATGAGAAGCATACTACTGAATTACGCAGTTTATAACCCTATTGTGGGCTACATGCAAGGGATGTCTGATCTTCTCGGGCCGTTGTTAGTGGAATTGAGGAACGAATCGGATGCGTTTTGGTGTTTTGTCGGTCTGATGCACGCTACGATATTCATATCAAGTCCTACAGATGATGACATGGAGTTGCAGTTGATGTTGGTAAGAGAACTCATCAAGATTTTCTGTCAGGATTTCTATCAACACTTGGACTTTATGGGGGACGACTCTTTGGAGCTGTTGTTCTGTCATAGATGGATCTTACTGTGTTTCAAAAGAGAGTTCTATGAGCAGGATGCTCTGAGGATCTGGGAATGTTGCTGGTCCCGATACGAAACAGACTACTTTCACTTATTCGTTTGTGTGGCTATTATTAAAATATACGGCGACGATGTGTATCAGAAGAACCTGTCAGCCGACGACGTTCTGCTTCATTTTAATACTCTAGCAATGCATATGAGTGTTGATCTGGTTCTAAAGGTAGCAAGAGGCTTGGTTTATCAGTTCAAAACTCTAACTACAATACCATGTGTGCTGCAAACTATGTACCAAAGTGCAGATTTGTATACTACCTCTTTGCCTATCAATGTAATTTGTGTGCATAGAAACAATCATAGTAGCAATTTCAGCACTTGTCCCTTCGATAAACAGAAGATTACTTCTGTTAAGAATTATTTTAAGGTGAATTAAGTGGGAGGTTTTACTTTATTGAATGAAATGTAATTTCGAGCTGATTTCCTTTGACATTCAGTTTTATCATAGTGATAATTAGTCTATTTATAATGGGCATGTTTCTGTCACTTAATCGTGCTAGGAATCTTTCATAATACATGGTTCACATTAGAGAATAACCCAATTTTAATTCTGGACACACTTTGAGGAGAATCCGCTTTTTATATCTTTCAATAGGGCGCGCGCGTCAACGTCCTTCGTAAAAAAAATGATCTGCAAACGAGCTGTTTAGCTCTCCGACTAATTACTGGTGATCTCTTGAGTCATCTGTAGTATGTTATCCGGAGTTTTAAGATGGAGCGCTTGTCCTTGGCACAGAAGTTTCCGACCACCGTGGTCTAATTAAAAAAGATGCAATTTAAAATTGATTAATTTCATTTCCTGTTCAAAAATTATATCATTTCAGAATTAAATTTTTTTTGATAAGGGGCGGTTGAATGAGGTAATAACTAAAAATCTGAAGGTAAACTAGTAAAAATGATGTCTAAAACCGAAGAAGCAAAAGTTTAGACTTCAAGAGTCCTCAAATTTTTGTTCAAAGGGTGTTCCTGGCGTTAGACGTTGCCGAAGAGTTGTTTGTTCTAAAAAAAATGAATTTGTTCATTTTTATTTTGAACAGAATGTTTTCTTAAATTTTTTGTTTGACTCAAATCAATAGTATAAACATCAAATCTAGGTTTAAAAAAAACAGAAACGTTGAAACGAGGTTCTTAAAATTCCTCGATTACTTAAATACTTAGACAAACACAGAACTATAAAATATGTTAAATAATTATGTGTTCATACCCTTTTTCTATTTCGAAAGCAAAAGATACGACCCGTCCACGGTAATCTTTTTGGGCGTCATTTATTTATTTGAACGGAAGTCAAATGTCTTTTTGAAGTTCAAGGGAAGAAACGAAAGCAATCGGAGAATTTCCATGAAAAACGGGTGTTTCATGTTCAGAACCAAGGTGGTCACAATTTAAGTTTTTTTGTGGTGTGAGTTTCTCAGTCCGAGCTGCTTTTCAGTTTTTCTAAATTAAACTCAAACTACTAAACCATGATGAGCCCTCTCGAATTCTCATGTCTTTATCAATTTAACAGCTTATATCCAAAGATTTGAAGCATCCATAATTTAAACATCTGAAACCCATCTTGGGTTATATCAGTTGCTGGGTATGATTACACTAGCAATACTTATGTACGTCGGACAAAACGCTTGCTAGGAATTAAAGGTCCTTTCTACATTCTAACTTGACTCGAATTGTTGCTTTTGTTTTAGTTATCCCGATACCGACTGTTTTGGTTTTGAGCATTCTAGTTAGATTCGTTCTTATTTTTAAAAGTCAGTTTCGAATGAAATCTTCGCTCAATTTTAGTTGTCAGTTCCTTTGCAACTTATTTACTTCATCCTGAACTTATTTCTTTGAACATCTAGTGATAGTGTTAATTCCTTCTGCTGTATTCACAAAATCGAGTACTATTAGGTCTCCTCGTCTTCCCTTGATATCAGCAAGAATTTGAAATGATTTCTGATCATTAATTGAACTATCTTCTTGATTTTTGATCAATTTGGTTAGTTCTTTAATTTGGGTTTCTATTGAAGTCATTTTATCCGTTCTTGATCAGTAGCAACAATAAGTGTTAGATCCTTAGTAATTACATGATAGGTAAAGTGATCGCAACCTAAAGTCGGATGCTCCATCATGTTTTCATGAGCTTTTTTGGTTGAAGAGCCAGAGGTCTCAACCCCTTGATTGAGAAATCAATATCTTTTTTTAATTTCTTAGTCTGTTTTGTATATTTCGTTCAATGGTTTGAGCTACAGCATCATTGTGAACGGTTGTATTGTTACTGTCTGCCATCCTCTATCTACAGAAGCTTTAATTCTGTGGAAGTAATTTTTTATCATTTCGCCATCTTGGCGGACGGCGTTTTCAACATCAATTCAAGTTTGTGTTTGACTTGATCTCGACCGTCAGTGAATCTATTCCGAATTAGATTTTCGAGTTGTGTCTGTGTTGATGTATCTGGTTTTTTTTTATCATTGAACCACTTAAGGGCTCTATCAATTATTGATGATCCAAATAGTGATTGTTGCCTATTATCATAGCTACGTCGTGCGTCGGCATCAGTAGGTCTCTGACCTATTGAAAGTAATTTTTTTTCAATGGAACTCCAGAATGCTGTAGCATTTTGTTCGGGGTCGGTTCACGAAAAGGTCATTAAAAACAAGCTGGAAATGGGATATTGGGGAGTCAGCCATAATAAGCTTAGTTTAGCTTGGAAGTAAGGATGGAAGTTGATTAGAATAGCAAAATGAGAAAGAAAAAAAAAAGAAATCTAAAATTCACGGAAAAATATTTTATTAGAAAACAACTTAATATAATTCACTTTAATTTTTCTTCAGACTCGATTCACAGTTTAAGGGTCAATTTCAAGTCAGGGAAAGGTTTATCTACTACTTGTTACACAAATATAACAGTCCTTCATGTGACCGGGTCTTCGATGAGCAGAGAAATCTCTGGCCTCTCCCCAGGATCTTCGGAGTAGGAATCCAGGTCTCCAAGAGTCATGGATGACTCTCATAGAGTCCTGGAAGCCTCGGCTGAAACAGACATTAGCATGACAGACTGTTAAAACAGAAAAAAAATGACACAAACGTAAACTTTACCGTTAACACTGAAGATTTAAAACAAACCGTATACAGCTGTCAAATATAACACATGTATGTCAAGGTAAAACTCATAAAACAGACTTCACGTCCCTAAAATATGTTTAGGAAAAAAATTAACAAAAACAGCAGTTTTTTAAAAGCGATTTCCGACTGCTATTTTAAAAACACAAAACATCCTAAATTTACGAAAAAAAAATATTCAAATAGAAACTCAATTTAAATTACAATGATCAAATTATAAAAAAATTATAAAAACTGTAAAAAACTCTTTGATCTGTTTGATGCCTTGAGATTATTTTATCTGTCTTTTCTATTCATCTTTTTTCTTTCTTTCCATCTATCTTTTTCATCTACCTTTTACTATTTAATCAATCGTTTTATCTATCTACTTTACCTATCTTCTTTATCCATCTTTTCTATCAATCTTTTCATCTATCTTATAACGATCTTTTTTATCTACCTCTTTCATCCAATCTATCTTTTCATCTATCTCTTATCTATTTTTTTATCTTTCTTTTCATCTTTTTTTCCTTTCTTCTCAATCTAGTTATCAAACTGTTTTTCATCTATCTTTTTTCAAACTAATCTATCTTTCTCTATCTTTTTATCTATACTTTTTTTTTCGTATCTGTCTTTTTTTATCTAATCTTTTTTTCTTCTTCGAATTCATCCATCTTTTTTATTCGACTTTTTTTCTTTCATTTTATCTAATTTTTTATCTATTTTTTATCTGTTTTTTTTTTCATCTTTCTTTTTATCTATCGCTTTTATTGATCTTTTCTTTCTATCTTTTTCATCTTTCTTTTTATCTATCTTCTTCAGCCAGCTTTTCATCTATCTTTCTTTCCATCTATCTTTTTTCTTGTAACTTTCATCAGCTCATGAACTTCTTGCTTATTGTGGGAAAGTTACAAGAAAAAAGATAGATGGAAAGAAAGATAGATGAAAAGCTGGCTGAAGAAGATAGATAAAAAGAAAGATGAAAAAGATAGAAAGAAAAGATCAATAAAAGCGATAGATAAAAAGAAAGATGAAAAAAAAACAGATAAAAAATAGATAAAAAATTAGATAAAATGAAAGAAAAAAAGTCGAATAAAAAAGATGTCTCAATTTAAAAATTCTCAGGTTTTAGTGGTTCTCATATTGGAAATTCTTCATGAGAAATTTAACTTTTTTTCGAAGCAAAAAAGTCAAACTGAAAGAAAACCAAAAAGTTTTCACTTTTGTGTTGAATGATAACTGCAACAACAATTTAAATCTTCAACAATTTATCCGTTTAACAAAAATTATTCTAAAAATTATTCAAAAAATTATTCAAAAAAACTTAAGAGAGAATGTATATGGCAGCTGTTTTTGTGGAGTTTAACTACTGCAGCATTCGAAAAAAACGGCAATTAAACGTCATAGAAATTACTTCATAGAATGCCAAAAATTTGTAAAACGAAAAGATAACAAAAAAAAACTTTCATTTTTTGTGTTGAATGAAAACTATAACAACATTAACGCTCTAAAACAATTAATCAGTATCAGCATAAAAATGATAACTTCAATAACCTATTTTCACAATAGGTTTTATAGAACCTCATGATAAACTATGTTTTTAGTGCTCAATCCTTCACTTTCATCACTGATGCAAAAACGTATATGGCCATATAATTGGCCATGAGCAAAGACTGGATCCCACAGTCACACAATTTTATCCAGTGTTTGACCCTGACTTTTATTTATGGTCAAGGCAAATGCCAGTTTTTTTTGCAAATCGACGCTTTTTCCATTTGAACGGAGCGTTTTCAGATTCTTCAGCTATGAGGTTTATCCGCGGAATGTAGTACAGTTGAGAATCATAGCCCAACCACTAGCCCAAAGTATGAAACGACGCAGACCCTCCTTGGCACGAGTGTTCGATGATCGGCTAACGTTGACGAACTCACGAATCATGATTGTAGTTTCCTTTCCTTCATCGGATCAATGTTACTCCACTCACTTATTATGTCGATCTACCACAAATGGAAAAAGGAGAAAATAAAACTCATTTCACCTTTGACACCTCCATTAGCATCAGCACAAGAGACAATTCTTGACTCAGCGGAACCCTCAGCTCCATTTCAAGAAACATTGAACGACGTGAAAGAACACGCGAATCGAACCAAACTGGAAATAACAGTAGAACTGAACAATGTGAGAGCTCACGCTTTCACCGCAAAGGCATCATACATCAACCGTGATGTTTCGAAGTCTCAACCCGGACGTCATTCAATGAATGAAAACATAATGCCGCTGACAGAACATTAGGACATTT